TATTGTAACGGAGAATGCACTAGAAATGTACGAATTCTTATTTTTTTTTCGTTTATCGGGTAATAAATATTAATTTCCATTTATTATTATTGAAGAACTTGCGTCTTCCTTCGTGAACTCAATGATATCGCTTAGAGCGATTGATAATGATAATTAATAAGTAACAATTGAAATTGTATATATAAATAAGAAATCAATTTTATTATTTTCATCAATTTATTTAGATCTATTGTTATGTTGCCATAACACATCGGTAGAGTTCCCCAAAAAATGTGAGGGTTCTTGTCTCGAATTTAGCGAAACTTGTTCTGGTTTAAACTCCTTTTATTTTCGTGATGAATTTTGAATGTGTGAATAATGATTCGAAAGAAATCTGAGTAGGTGCACGTTTGAAAGGCAGATTTGAGGGAAAATGATGTGTATGCGCATATACAATAATTTCTCCCTAATTTACGCTCAGATTAGGCAGAAGAATGGACAATTTAGAAAGAGGAGATACGATTATTCGAACCTTGTATCTCGGTTTTATAGTTGTTGATAATCTCGTTTTAAAATTGTTTTTATACTCGTATCTCCTCTTTTCAAATTTCCCATATTTGTGCGCAACCTAAGCACGAGAATTAGGGAGAAATTACTGTATATAGGTCCTTACTCGAGTGGTGGGGGTTTTGGAATTGTAAGGATTATCATGGTAAGGTCAGTGTTTTGGGATGAAGTTAGTATACGATATAACATTATAAAAATAATAAGTGATGTAACAACAATAAATATCACTTAAATATACATTTATTTAAATGATGCCTAACATTGATTATAATTGATAAAAAAACTCATTAGGAATGTATCATACAAGAAGTCGCTAAAAATATGCAAATAAAAATGTGCAAGCAGGATTCAGAAAGAATCTACTTGAAACGCCTGCACAAAGTTAGAAGTAAAATATAAATCAGAGCAACGAATATTTAGGGTTTAAACGTGCATTAAAGTCGACCGTTCATATCGACAGATGAGCAGACGTTATCGGCATTGTTTCAATCGAGTGATTCATACGGACAACGATATGCAAATTCCTGAATGATATATTAACGTTAAATGCTCGAATGATTGATGAATGAGGAGAAGGTTTGAGTATATACTTCGCTGACAAACAGTACACTGTTCGACTATTATCCAATATTGATGAATTAGAAACTCGCATAGACTGTCTCTATAGCAAGTTTTATAGCAGGATGATTAGTACTGTTGGGAGCTGAAAAGAATGGCATCTACCCGTGAACTAAGCAACACGAGGGGCAAGGGAAATCGATCGGCTGCTCCACCCGATCCCTTTGACTTTTTCAGATTCTGGGTCATTATTGGCTAAATAAGGAACGCGAAGGGCAAGGGGAATGTGTCGCCCGCTACACATAATCACGGTTTCTTTTCAGCGCTCAACTTACTTAGCCAATGATGACCCAGAATCTGAAAAAGTAAAATATTTTAACATCGTAGAAAAATTTCGAGGCTCCGTGAATTTACGTTGCCATTACACCTCTGGCTGACTAATCCACGCTACCAATCGTTTAACGCTGTCTCAAAACCGGCCTTCGACTTGTTTGCAGAATTTGAAAGCCTATTTACGGGTCTCGAGATTCAGTTCCCGTAAGCATTTCAATTAGAGCAACAGATTCCCACATCGCCGAACGAAATGGCCGTTGGTTGCGATCCATGATTCAGCGAGCAAGAAAAGTATGACTAATCTCTCAAAGCAAGAGAGCGATCCGAATGCGCCTAAGGGTGAAAGGAGCAGTGGTTTTCGGAAAAACCACAGCCAGAAGTGGAAACATTTGTTAGAAAATAGTAACTGATAACCTAAATTTCGCAAGCACCCACTAGCGCTCCGTAGAGTTCCGATTCGGCGCCATGAAACCGATTAACCCCTTGGGTACATTTGACGATTGAGACTCGTCATGCACTTGTTTTGCCTAAGTTACAGATAACGGGTCTAATTCGTCATTCAAACTTTTAATTACTATATATTATTAGTATATTATATCACTATATAATATAATATAATATATCACTATATAATATAATATAATATATCACTATATAATATAATATAATATATCACTATATAATATATTATA